AGGGAAAGTAATTCATGTCAGTAAACAATCCAAATACTGGCACTGATCCAAACTCTTCTTGTTACACTTGTGAGCTCACAAGACGGTCAGAGGTACTGTGTCTGGCTGTGGTGTTGCTGCTTGCAGGTCTAACCTGGTGAGCTACCGAGCCCACAGTTCCCTAAGAGTGTAACATCAACAGCAGCTGAGACTGTCAAAAAATCCAGAGGCAGTGAAGAGTCTCTGTGTGAGATTTTTGTTGGTATTTGGCCCTTTTCCAGCTCATGACACACTGGAAAGACGAAATTCAGTTTTAAAAGAAGTTTAAAATTCAGAAAAGACTCCTTTTCCAAATTTTGGGTGAAGGCTGAAATGGGATGTTTTATATTAATTGCATAGTCAAGGCTTGACAAATGTGTCTCTGTTAATTTACACAGGTCCTGATGGAGAGAAGGCCTGGCCAAAGAAATACCCATTTTGTGGAGGAGTTTTCCAATCACCAATAGATTTCCACAAAGATATTCTCCAGTATGATTCTGATCTCTTGCCTTTAGAATTCATAGGCTATAATGTGTCCTCCACTGACCATTTTACGTTGACCAATAATGGCCATTCAGGTAAGGGAGCTCAATAACAGCAAACAGTTGTGAAGGAAAGAGCTGCTGGAGCTTATGTTTATTTTGTTACACGGGCGAACTGCTTTGACTATCAGATAAAACTAAGCTGTAATGATGAAGCCTTCACATCAGCATACCTATATCTCGAGAACAGACTAAGGAAACCTGGGAATGTATGCAGTACAAATGGATTCACAGTAAGACAAATTGACTACAGTGTTTAAATAAACTCTAGGCATGTCAGAATTAAATCTTAAGCTTTTCTTACTACTTGGGTTGGAGTGTTCCAAAACAGACTTTGTGATTCTGTTAAAAGGAGATATACTGATAAAATATGGGTGCAATAGGTCTCTTTACATTCCAGTCTAATTGAAAATAGCTCAGCTGAATTATGGGGGGGTGAGGGGAGGAAAAAAAAACCACTAGGAGCACCATTCTGTTCCTTTGACTTGAGATACAAACCTCTTTAGTGTAAGATAAGACAGATAGATAAGACAGGAAAATAATTAGAAGTAGTGTACAAACAAGCCCTCCACTGTTGTACTAAATCAAAGTGTCAGGACAGTAGGTAAAAGCAGAGAAGATACAGTTTCGTAAAGGCATACTATATGGACACAATATACAACACCAATCCCACTGTTTTTTATTCCTTCCTGAAACACTTTTTAACCTCCTCTATTGCATAAGTAAGAATGTGCTATAACATGGCCTCTGCCTCTGCTCTCCTCTGGCATGCTTGGTTAAAGGATGCCTGACATGCAAAAAACTTTTTTTTCCCTCAATCTTTCAGTGGGGTAAACCTGCTCTGTATAACACCATTCTTCACTAAGGGCCAGCCTCTTAAGGTATGGTTCCTTGTTTTCCTCTTGATCCATCAAAATTTCTCCATCAAAACCAGGTTACTTTAGACTAGGAATGGCTGGAACACCCTTTCGTTGTGAATCTTCTTTTCCTAAGAGCCTTTCTTGGTCCTGAGCAAAAGGTTGTACTGTCACAGCTCTATGTATTAGGCTGATGTGACAAGCAATAGGCAGAGAAGGAAACATTGTCACTGTGGACTTGAACAGTGCCAGAGAGCAAGTGGAGACAAAAAGAACACCGGGGACATGCAATCCGCTCTAGAAACTTCACTCAAATACAAACCTTAATTGCTCTGAGTAATGAAAAACTAACCTCTGAAAGAGTGATCTTTACACCATCTGCTGCTATCTTCTCTTATGGCTAGAGAGGAAATGAGTGGGATGTTTAGTATTGTGGTAACAGCCATTCCTAGAGATAATTAATGTGCTTCACCAGCCAGCTAATCCAGATACAATTATCAACTTCAGCTAGACAGTAGAGCTCTGAAGAGGCTTTTTAGCTGTTCCTTCAATAGGGTTTTGAGCCTTGTTTCCCCTGCAAAACATGTCTGGGACAGTCCAGAAGCAAATAGTATTCACATTGGAAAATAATAAAGATAAATTGCAAAGAAATTGGTCTGTTCTTCACATAAACTGTTGCTTTATAAAGTACCAAACTTCTCAAGTGAAAAACTCTGTTTCTGCTGAGTTAAGAATTACTACTGTAAATTCTATTTAAAAACAAAACAAAACAAACAAACCAGCCTGTCTTCTACACTGGAAAGCATTAGTGAGCAGGAGGGAGGGTAAAGGATACATACAAAAGTCTTCCTTCAGCATGTCAGAAGAGGAGATGCTAGTTATTAAGGCCTGTGGGTATCTTGCTGCTTGTCATCAATGCTCTGGTTTTAGAGGGGCTGGGGAGGGTGGGAAGTTTGTTTGGTTTTGCCGCATGTTCCTAAAAGAAGAGCCAGAGGAATTCAGCATAACACACATTTAAAAATACCATGAGATATATTCATTTGTTAAGCCATTTTCAACCCTTATAAGGAGATTGAAAAAAGACATGTGAGCTTAAGATTTGCTTCAACATGTCAATAACTGTCAATAATTTTGCATTCTTCAGGGAGAATAAAGATATCCATTAGCAACGGTCCTCACATTCAATTTCTTTAGTTTAAGAAAATAGAAAAGATATATTCTAGATTCTTCTGAATTACCTAGAAAGTGTTAAAAACAACTAAAGTGTTTGATTCCTACCACAGACTGAGATAGATTTAAGAATCTGCTTTGTTCATGTTCCATACGTAATGTACTTCGACACAGTATTTTTATCTGCCCTGTGCTTGAAAATTCTGGTATCATTTGCTCCCATCTGGTTTTGGTCTGCTTACAGTGAAAATGTACCTGTTGCCTACTATGTACATCAGAAACCTCCCATTTGAATACACTGCATCTCAGCTTCACCTACACTGGGGAAACAGCAACAAGTCAGAAGGCTCAGAGCACACAGTCAGTGGGAAGCATTTTGCAGCAGAGGTAAGACTAGCTTGGATCAGTGCTGTGGTTTGGGGTCAGGGCAGCCCCCAGAACCGTAACAGACACTCTCTGTTAACACTCACCCTCCACTCTTGAAAGTGAAAGAGAAAGGGAATAAGGGAGAGAGATTTGTTGATTAGAAAAGAGCTTTAATACTCCCAGTAATAATAATAGTAATAATGACAATAAAATAGACTATGCACGAATATATACACAGTTAGTACCGAACCCAACTCCCCCCCGATGGCAATACGTCACCGTCACCCCCAGCTGGGGAGCAGCCCCCAGGGAAGGGTCCCAGGCTGGACTCAGCTACAGACTGGGTTCAGCCGACGGATTCTGGCAGTCAGTTCTGGAACTCGGTTCAGAAACGCAGGGCTCGGGATCAAAGGCAGTATGGATGAAGTCCTCCTCGGATGCCATCCACTGCAGCAGAAGCAGCCCGTCCAGCAGCAGAAGACAGAAGAGAGCACAGGAAGGGGTGGCAGAAGGCCTTGCCCCTTCCTGTCCTTCAGCTCTTACTGGTTATGCCGGCTGTGGGATGGAACATCCCACTGGTGAATCTTGGGGTCAGTTATTCTGCCTGCTCCTCCCTGCAGGTGTGGGGTGCTCTCTGCCCCCCTCTGTGTGGGATAGAAGCTTAGCAGTGGCCTTGGTCTGCTTACTAATCCCTGGCAGCAACTCTAAACATGAAGTCTTATCACTGTTGAAACCAGACAGTTTATGAAAACACTGCTAAATTCAGACAGAGCAGTTAATTACAAGAGCTTTAGCTAAAAAGTAAAATCATTGAGCAGAACCAGCTCTATTTACCCCAAACCAGGACAATCAGGGAAAGAAACAAAGAAGGTTGGGCAGGTCCCATTGTTTCAATGTGGGATCTTTATCTTGGGTATATGACTGTAAAAAGCTTCAGGGTTCTATTCCAAATATTTGTGGATATGTACTAAAAAAAATAATTGTGCACTGCAAAAAAGGATGGAATCCAAGGTACTTTCACAAATATGCCACAAGTCAGGGAGTTGGCATTTAGATTCTATACTCAGGGCTAGCACTGGGTCACTTGAGTAATTTCAAGCAAACCACTAGATATTTGAAATCTTGGTTCTTATCTGTAAACCAGATATATCTTTTAGCTGCACAACATTGCTTCCCTGTCAATATTTACTCACCTTCTTCTATCCAACGAAGAACTATTTATTATCTGTTCTAATCCTAAATAATGGATTTGGGAATGGATTTCAAAATGCAGTACCCATCAGATACTTAACCTGAAATGCATAATTTGCTTGTGTAACAGCACTTTAGGAAGCTGCTTCTTCTCTAGTTACATTTAACACTGGGTTTTGCATGTTAAACATCAGAGAACCCCAAGAGTGCTAAGGTGTCACTTCTTCAGAAAAATTTACTAGTTCTACAGTCAAGATGCCTTGAAGCTGAAGTGACTGATCCTCTTCCCCCACTCCCCGCTATGCAGAGGAGGGTGCATAACTCAGCTATGCTGCGGCTGGGAGCGGGAGTTCCAGGACCTTCTGCTTTTCTCTAAACAGATCTTACCTCCACACCCAGAAATCACTGAAGGCTCCCAGTTTATTGACTTAGCCTGTGGTGGATGATCCTTTTTAGCTGTGAAACAAAAATGTGAGCATGCCCTAGATGCTACCATAATGAAGTATCTCATTCTTTGTAGCTGCATATTGTACATTATAACTCTGAGAAATATCCAGATATAACAGCAGCAATGGACAAAGGAGATGGACTGGCAGTTTTGGCTATTCTTCTCGAGGTAGGATGCAGGACATGTTTGGGTTTTTGTGTTTGTTTGTTTGTTTGTGTTTGTTTTTGGTGTTTGGGTTTTTGTTGTTGTTGTTGGTTGGTTGGTTGTTTTTTGTTGGGTTTTTGTTGTTGTTAAGAACATGTTTTCAATCATTAAGTCGAAATCCTTAATATGCAAAATTACCTAGATTATTTAACAATGCTGTGGCTGAATAAAAGTTCTACCTTTCTTCTTTGCCATGGTTTGGGGTCAGGGCTGC